AATTTGGTGTTTCCCTATTTGCATGATGTTAGTGAAACTCTGAATTATTCAGATTTAAATTAACCACAACGCTTGCAACATCCCCCCGTGTTGACAATGCTTCTCGTCCATGCTTATGGCACGTTTTCTCATCATATTTACCAGTAAATATTTCTGATTGTGATAGTTTTAATTTTGGTAATCCAGCTGCGAATAGTATCCTTATTTTTAATCAGTTCTTATGTTATATTTGAGTTTCAGACACCTAGATTTTGTGGATACATTTTTTACATATGGAATGTATGCAGTGTTCCGGGGTTTTATTTCAGTGCAGGGTTGCTTTAAAATATTTACTTTATTTAAGCTCTTTAGACCTTATCATACACAAAAGAAGTTTACAACAATTTTCTTTAAATGTGTTTGTATGGTTTCCAGTTCTGTTTTTAGAATATTATATGTACAAAAAATAAACCAGTGGCCCATCTAGACATGTGTAGGTTGATTGGAAGTAAATTTTAGGTACTGACATGAAGCAGTAGTTAAAATGGTATAAGATTACCTGTTTCTGTCTATGATCCTAATTTGTAGTATGAGCTACCGGTTTCGAGGTTATAACCTCATCATCAGGCTCTTGTCACTCTTGCGAGGTCGTCGAGTTTTACAAACACACAAAACACTGACATTTAAATAAATAAAAACATTGACGGATACGATACGAATACTATTTAACATTTAACATAAAAATCTGGAACTAGTTCCCACACGACGCGGCACGGGCAAACGTTTTGTCATGACTCAAGTTTTTAGAGTTAAATTTTATATTAATTTTACAGTTTTAAAAATTATGTGAGGTGTTTATGTATATTTTTTGTATTTTAACGTAAAATCTGTGCCATGGTACAAACTACTTCCTAAATATATCTTAGGCTCATCAATATGTAACGAGAGTAGAGTTATGGCAAATCAACAATATATTGTATTGCCAAAATAAAGAATGAAATAATAGTTAAATGTGTGTTTTTTTTTTAAGTAGGTCTACTGTTAAATACTGTTGCTAGAACCCAGCAAGAGCCTATTATAAGGCAGCTGAAAAGAAGAAAGTGGAGGTGGATCGGGCATATCCTACGACAATCTCAGGATACAGTGGCGAGACAGGCCTTGGACTGGAACCCCCAAGGAAGCAGAAGACGAGGGAGACCAAGAACCACTTGGAGGCGGACGGTGGAGAGAGAGTTGGAGGGACGAGGCATGACATGGGCTAGAGCAAAGGAACTGGCAAACCATAGAGACCGCTGGAGAGTGTTCGTCGAGGCCCTATGCTCCCCCTAGGAGCTCAAGGAAATAAGTCAAGTAAGTCAAGTCACTGTTAAATGAATACAAACTTTACATAGATTGCACCGCTAATTAAATAGTACTGATCGACAAAGCACTTTTTCAGTCTTGATTCAAGTAGGGTTGTTTTCAGTAAAACTAAATAAAATATTTTAAATGCTCTTTGATTTATTTGGTATATTTTCCCTAAGGACCTGTGTATGCTATGGAATTATGTTACTCCTTTTGTTGTACTGTTCTAATATGCCATGATAATAGTATAAATAAATACTTTGGGTTGTCTTAACATGTTCAATCCCAACCGGCACACTCCTCTGTATGTAGATTCTCCAAACACACGGGAATGAATGTGTTAATGCTGAAAATCGTGAACAAACTCAAGGAGCTCATACTATCACAGGCGAGCCAGGAGATTGTTGGCGAAAAGCAAAAGATAATAAAATCTGCAGCTTGGTCCTGTTGAGCCTGTGACGGGCCATTTAGTCATTTAGTGTAGTGTATATGGACACGAAAGGTGTAACTAAGAGCTTGCACAATTGGTCGTCGGTTTTTGTATGAATGTACTCCGGCTTGTATCCCTGAATGTAAAGCAATAGTGACATTTTAACTTTGGAATGTGTAAGCTTAAGTGAACATGTATTTCTTTCTCAAATTCTGCTGTTATTGTAAACAAGTGATTACTGTATGGGTTTCTCTGCAGTGACTTTTAACAAAAGGTGAGGGAAAAATATGACGTCCTCATGAACCAATAGTGGTGAATAAGAATCATCGATAAGAACGATAACAACAGTTGTATACACAACACACACACATCACATCATAGTAACTTGCCAAATCCCCGTGGTGCGACCACAACCGTATATCACAGGCACTGATACAATATTCACACAATGCTGCCGTGCCTCTGGGGATACTCCTTGTGTTGCAACAGTTCATTTTTCCTTTTTTGCAACAGTCCTTTTTCACAGTCGAGCTATATGTTTTCTTTACAGATTGAGCCAAGGAGCTACTGACATTATAACAATGTATATTTCTATTTAAATACGCCGTTACCTGTTTACTAGCTGGTTTCACTAGTGTTTTATACGTATACAGTCTTATGAACAATATAACTTTGTTACCATGCAATCAGAATAATAGTGTTTTAATTTTAGAATAAATAAATGATAGAGCTCAAGTATAATTGAACATTTTAAATTCAGTTTTAATATAATCCTCAGTATATTTTTTTACTCTTGAGATTGACTCAACTTTGTAAAAAAAATTAAAATTATTAATTATTTTACGAACTTCCTTCTAAATTTTAAGAAGTTCGTGCCAAAACGGCAAGTGTCGTCCCCACCCCTGGGCTTTGGGGGTGTGAGTGGCACAGGTCAGTAGGGCCTAAGGCACCAGCGTTCGGTCATGCAATCTTATATTTCAGCCCCATCAAACCATTATTACAAAACATTTATTACATAATTCATATTTATTCATAACATTCAGTGCGTCTGCGTACATCGCGGTGCGTACATAGGATTTAGTAAACATTAGTGATTTTTAAAGATAGAAATCAGAAAGCTAAATTTGATTGGATAAATGTTTAGCGAATATTTCCTCCAACGTATGCATCCTTTATCTCTACAGATCTTGGATCTTGTTTACAAATACTGCAGACTCCTAAACAATCTAATCTACTCGTTCAGCCCTTATTCTGGCAAGGGTATGGGTTTCAACTATGTTAACATACTTTAATAATCGTTTACCTTATATTGTTGCAAGGACAAGCATAGTAAGTCGGATGATTAGGCTATATGACACTAATATAATCATTTGTAAATCAATTGTGACCGTCTAATAGTTTGCATTATAGTCATCAATTTTCTCAAAAAGAATGTGCGGTTTTTCGTATTTTATTTATTGGGGCAGAATTAGAATGAGCTTAGTTTCTAAGCAGTTTAACTACCAACTTTAAGTTTCTGTCCAAAATTACAAACCACTTGACAAAAATGTCCATGAATATACTATACATATAGTGCAAATAAAGAAAAATACCAAAAATAAGAGCGAAAAAATAGTGAAAATGAAACGTTACGTCATCAATGTATTATTCATAACCATCATAGGTTTATAAACTGATTAGATCGGGTTGAGGCATTATTTAATCCTGACAAGGGAATAATGAAATTAATCTAGATCATCTCATATGTCACGCAACGTTTTATAGAGTTTACTGTTTTAATATTGCATTAGCTACGGCGTTGTCCGTCACAGTTTTGTGTATACCGCGAGCCGTTAAGTTCGCTTACGATGAAAAACAATCACATGGAACTTGGAGCTACCTATACCGTCATCACATCATTCGACAATTGTTTTGGAAAGAGACCAGAGTGAGTTGTTTTCTACAGTGGCCTATGTTTGTGATTCTAGCCTATACTTGTGATTTGTGTATCCATCGGCATTAAAAATATAACAGTATGCCACAGGATGAATTAATCAACCAAGGCTTTGCTGTCCAGTAAGTCCATAGAAAGATGTACAACAGCAACTCATGTAATAATACACTGCATTCGCTCAACGAAAGAGTGAAGAGACTCGAAGAGCTAATGAGAAGAAAGCAGTTGGAAGGTTTTGAAAATAAAACTGTCTACTTGAGGGTACAAAATGCAAATTATACAACTGGTAAATTGTACAAAGACGAAAAGGAGCTGGTAGAAGTTGAGACTATTAATTATATAACAGACAAAAGCTTAGTTGTAAATGATGTGTCTGATGAAAACAACAAATATGTGTCAGTGTCTGAGCATATATCATTTTACATTAAACGATTTAGGCAAAGGTTAGTGTTCAACGTTCTATGGACCCTAGTACACGCATTGGCAGTAATTGCTAGCTGTTATTACATAAAGACTGCCTTAGACAGTTGGCAATCGTCTCCAGTTGTACAATCTGTTTCCAGCAATCAAGTTAACACTATCAATGTTTCATTCCCTGCCGTTACAACTTGTTGGCCTTTCTACTTTAACCGTGATTACGATTTTAACAACAATATAAACAAATGCCTTGATTGTAAAAACCATGTATGTACCCTCAGAAAAAATACCTGCAAACAAGAGGATATTATGAGACTAATTTTTGCTTACAGATTGTGCGAAAAACATGCTCATGCTAATCCTTTTCCACCGACACTGTTTTCAGAGATGCCTATACCCTTGTTTATTAGTGGAGAAGAGTTTGGTAGATACATGTCTATACTTGTACCGCATTGTGAATCTCATTCGGTAGTGATATCAAACAATTTGGAACCTTCCACGAGATGCGATAGTGACATGTTCCAACAGTTTTACTCAACTAATAAGAGAGTATGTGTAACTTTTAACAGTTTGCGACACAAAGACATATTTGAGGATGGCGTAGTTACAGCTATACCAATGGCCAATACGGTCGCCAAAAAGAGTTCCCATTGGTCCTTTGATAACATGATGGTATTCGATGGTAGTTTGACCACCACGCCCAGATACGGGTTACGTAGATATGTAATATTAATAAATCAACCAACTGATGATTCTGAAAACTCAACTGATGATTGTGAGTACACAAGTGATCTAGTCTCAATAATGATACATAGTCCTAACGAAATACCATTAAATAGTCATAACAAAAAAATATTGGTTTATGAAAAGAAGTCTGTTGAAATCGCTCTAACTCCTATGATTACATTGGCAAAGGACTTGGAGCAATACTCTCCTCAACAAAGAGGATGCTATTTCACCCACGAAAGAAAATTAGCCATGTTTAAATTCTACACGAAGAATAATTGTGAAATTGAATGTGCTATAATGTTTACCATAAATGATTGCGGATGTTCACCTATGTTGTACCCGAGGCCGAACGATTCTGTAAAGGTTTGTGTCGCAGACTGTTTAAACCCAAGGCTTCATGACTGTGGATGTCTGCCGGAATGTAATTCACTCCAGTACGAATATACGACAACGGAAATTCCGTACTCAAATATATTAATTAGAAACCGTACATTTCTGGGTGGGGTAGAAATTTCATTCAGGGACAACTCTATCCATACGAATGCCCGATACAGCATCACAAGCACCAAAGAGTTTCTGGCCTACTCCCTCGGCGTGCTGGGGGCGTTTCTGGGGTTCAGCGTCACCTGCGTGTGGCAACTGGTGTATCTGTTTGTCGCAAGACTTTGGCGACTTGCCAGAAACCCGATAAATAAGGCAATGTTTTCATTTATACGTAGTTCAATCTAAAAATCAACTTTTTACCTTGATTAAGTATTTTTCTTACCTTTCCTGTAAAGATAATATATTTGATTAATTTGTCTTAGTGTGCATTAAAAGTTATTGCATTTTTCTCAAAAATCACAAATTCAAACTTCCATTGCATATGGGTAGACATAGGTTTTATCCTAATGGCTCTGTACTATTACTATTGGAAATTTAACGATACATGTAAAATGTGAACAAAATCAAATGAAACAATGTTTAGTGCACTCAAAATATCAAAAACCTTCGTGATTAATGGAGCGAGTTACTTTGTACATAGTTTTTATTCAATGTAAAAACACGGTTTTCTAATTGTTAATAAGTAATCGAAATACCAAATTCTACTTATTTAAGAAAAAAAATGTAACTGTTTATTTTCTTCTTTTTTTACTATCTCTATATATTTTATTACAATATATTTTTTATTATTGACACCGTTAATTAGGATGGATGATATGTCTTAAATATGCTATGAAATTATAGTACTTTAAACCAAATAAATGGTTTGTATGTTGCTTATGTATAGGTTGCACCGCAATATTTAACAAGTAATATGTACTATGATAGCTTAGTTTATTATTGTTACAGTCACATGAAACCCACAAATATAATTAAAAAAAAGATTGGCACACTTCTGTAAGACGATGTAAAATTTTACAAAAAAAAATTAAATTACATTTATTTTTCTTCTATTTTCTAAAAATAATTATTTCTCTGTGTACTTCAAAAAATAGCACATACTGGAAAGTTTTGTATAGATAGTTATTTTATAATTAATATTGTGACTAATACTATCCTTATTTAGTTTTTGTGCTAAAGAGGATGGCACAACAATCCACCATAAAACTAATTCCTCATTATTTATCTGATACCGTATGAACTAAAAAGGTATTTTACCCCCTAGAAGCAAAATAACTAGTTACCCATAACGCACGTAAAAATGGCATAAAATGGCCTTTTTGCTGCATTGTGGTCAAAAATAATATGTTTACATTGCTTAATAGATTGGTTAGTTATAATGGTTAAGTATAATTTCGATAATTTTCGATAATTATCTAGATTCTAAAAAGTGTTTTATGCATTGCTGTTATATATAATTTAAATAACTTCTTGATCAGCATACGTGTTATTAAAATTTACAGAAAGTAAATATAACTTAAATAGCGTAAATATATGTTTTAAGTGTTATAAGACTTTCCTTTTATTTACTTTCCATATCATTTAAGTATATTAATGTCAATTGTGGCTTAGTGGGTCAGCTTTGCATTGTAACACTAGTCTTGTCAGTGTACTACTACAACTGACTAGTACTGGCCTTTATGCCAGTGTGTATCATAAAAAATCCTAAAAAGAGCTACATCATTTTTTGAAACGCAGTTTTCCTACATGACAGTTTAAATGCTTGTACTAACCTAACTGCAAGTTAGACCCTTATACTATAATCTTGTTTTGTTTTAAAGTATGAAATGGAAATGCCTAGTTGTCTATGAGGCATAATATAAGAATGTCACTATCAACAATGACAACCACTTTTTACATGGGTTTTTAAACTCTAACTTTATCAGGCCTAATTCAACTGAACATTCTTGAACTGGACATTCTCAGGCCAAATGCTCTCATGAATATATGGTAAACGAAAAACGAGTGGCTCAATTCTGTATAGTATTTTTAAGTCATGATTTTTGAGGTTATGCAGATTGGCTGTGTCGTTAGGCGTCGTCATCCTGTCTACCACTCTCAGGTAAGGCCCCACAAAAAAAAAACCGGCCATGCTGCAGGATCCATGACGTCACACTAGTGGATAGATTCATTGATAAATTCCCATATGTTTTAGGTAAAAAATGGCTGTTTGTAATATTTCAATGGTTAGATTTTAGTACGACCAGCCACCACTGTGACGTGGTGTTGCGCTGCCCGCGCTTCAGCATGTTAGGTTTTAATCCACGGTATCTTCAGGCGTTTTTTTTAATTACTTTTTTAATTTAGATTTTTAATTGGGATTTTCCCATAAAAACCGGAAAAATCTGATTGTCTCAAAAATGGCCCAAAACGATTTTGATAAAAATTTAGTATATTGTAGCCCTTTAAATTCTAAACAAAATGGTACAAATCCCATTTCTGTGAAAATTACGGTTAAAAAGTTATTTTCCTATGAAAAATCCCCATAAAATAACGGAAAATTGGATTTTAGAAAAAAATCTGGTTTTGATTTAACATAGTATGTTATAGTCCTTACAATTTTGATAGTTTTTTTTATTTTTTAGATTTTTTTTTTAATGGGGATTTCCCATAAAACCCCATAAAATAACGGAAAAATAGGATTTTCCCAAAAATGGCACGAACGATTTTGACAAATATTTAGTATGTTATGGTCCTTTATATTGTAAACAAAATGATACAAATCCCATTTCTGTAAATATTACGGTTCAAAAGTTATTGTAAATTATGTCATTTTCCTATAAAACCTCCATAAAATAACAGAAAAATCTGATTTTCCCAGAAATGGCCCGAAAGATTTTGATAAAAATTTAGCATGTTGTAGTCCTTTAAATTCTGAACAAAATTGTACAAATCCCATTTCCGTATATTTACTCTCATCGCTTTTACATGAAAAAGGTTGTTGACAAACTTATGGGAGAAAGTATGTGTCAGAATGCTGATACCATTTATTTACTTACTGTCTTTTATATATTTAAGGAAATACATACAGTATGAACAAAGCAAAAATTACATGTAAATGTATTCGATATTGTTTTAGAGAATTTCTCATATAGGGAATAATCTATTTGTGTTTATGTTTGGGTATAATTCTTTAAAATGGGTTATTTCAATAATACTGCTTTTTTTCTTAAATATATGTTTTTAATTTTATTTTTGGGACAACATTGATGGAAATCTGTGTACTACTATAAAAAAATTGTAAATCTAAATGGTATTGAATTTTTAGTAAAATATAATTTGACGCAAATTTATAGTAAAAAAAGAATAAAATATGAATTGTCTTTTATAAAACAATATACTATTTTATTCATTGTATAAAAAAAACGTACCGATATTTATTCAAATATACATCAGCTGTTCATTTTACATATCAAACCTAAAACAATATGGTTCGATTTATATTATAATTGGCCTTATAGACTTTTTAAAGAATAACATTATTAAATCATATGATTTGGCCTTGCAATTCTTCTGGGTTGTATATGGCTGGCAGCCCTGAAAAAGGTTACACACACGCAGGTGAACTCACATGCCCGTTCTCCCATAGAAAACAACAAAAGTGCTTGGCAGATAGTTAATAGTTAATAAACTATGTTAACAATGTCAATATCAACCAAGTCAATAGTTAATAAACTATGTTAGAAAAGAAAAATACTTATTACGTTAGGATCACCTCTTAAACTACTTACAATTTGTTTTCAATTTTGCTAATGCTAACAAGCAGTTAATTATTATAAGTGATTCAAAATTAATATGTTTACATTGCTTACATAGATTGGTTGGTTATATTGATGATATAGGTTGTTTTAGATCATTTAAAAAAACAACCGTTTTTGTATATTGTCATTATATATAATTGAAGTAAATCAAAGTCACGAGTTGTTTTGAAAAACATGGTTGTCCCTGAAAAACGCTTGCTGGATAACGTTTTGTTTGTTTGGTATTCATAAAACTCATTTTAATTTCGGGATAAATTCAACTTAGCTCTGTATTATACTTGTGATTAATTCCTTGACAAACTAAACAATGTATAAAGGTTATGTTACTTTTTTATGTATAAGTAATGTAAAGGTTTATTATATTTTTTTACAGAATTATTTTATTTGTATACCGTGAAAATGTTTGCAAGTACCATACTTACTTATATTCGCAAAATGTGGGTTGACTTCCAATTATTATAAACAATTTTGTTAACATATATAATAAAAACCCCTCACAATAAATAATTTTTATTTGATTATTGGCTACATCTTGCACTTAGCAAATATCCAGTTTTGATTTAAATATCCAATAATAAAGCCACGACTAGCGTGTTGTTGTAAAGTGTTGTTTGTGGAATACAGAGTCATTAGCTTATGAGTTGACGTAAACCATGTCAACAGTAAATTTCAGCTTTCTGCTATGAAATAAAATGAAATGGACTCATCAAAACTCTATATTCACGACCAAATTGATTCTAAATAAAACTGCTCCAATTTAGTTGACAGTTTTTCCTAACAAGCTATGTTTCATCATGAGTTTTTTTTTCTTATTCTCTGCTTTTAAATTAACATATGATTTAAAGTTTATCTTAAAACTGTTTACTAATAAGAATATTGTTGTGTTTTTAAAATAGAAACTTAACTTTTGCTACAAAATTTCTCCTTTATATTCAAGAATTTATAAAAACTAAAAATGGCGCAGTCCGCATTTGAGTGAGTTTACATTCGTCAATGACAGGTTTAAAAAAAAAATACAACCGACTTCAAACGCTCTAAAAAGAATGAAATAATTTCAATAAAGTAAACTTTTGTATTAGGCAAGCTCACGTATTTCAAGTCGGCGCGGCTCTATGATGATTTTTGATACAAAATTGAAAGAGGATGTCCATATTGCAGGTGACTATCTATAACTAAAGGTGTTAATCTGCATGTATTTTTCATAGTTATGCGTTTAGTGTTATTTTATTACCGTAATCAGAGATCGGCATTATAGTGGTATTAACGAGTATCTTTAAAAAGGTTGTAACGCATTTAAATGATTATAACTTGGAAAAGTAACGTTTTAATACTAAACTAGCTTCTTTTCCCTATCATTATATCAAAATAAATTATTTTCCTATTCATATAGAACATTTGTGTGTTTTATTTTCATAATGCATTTATTCTGAAGTAAACATAAAATACAAGAAAATATTTCCTTTAATATATAAACAAAACAGTTCAGTATGTTTTTTATATATTTATGTTATCCAGCTACAATTTATTGATTTTCAAAATACACAC